CCATGAACCATTCTTCATAGGTCACAGTGCTGACCTATGAGGTCCTTCCAGGTTTAAGAGTTATCATGACTTAGTGTGTTATCTTGGTTCCTGAGGCCTGTTCCTCCCAGAGGGGAAAAATGGAAACAGTCGTCTGTCATGAGTTTTGCCTCTTGTTCCCAGCCTCGGTGACTTTGCCTTCATCTGTCTGAGACAGATAAAAGGAATGTTGCCCCGAGTTAGCGGAATCTAACTCAAGGGCTTGAAGCCAGCAAATGGAGTTCATATCCATTAGCACCAGTGTCCTGTAGCAAGGGTTCAAATAGCAGTAAATCCCCCATTGGACAGTGAATAGAACAGAGGAGAGTCAGTGGAAAGGATAAAAATCTTAGTTTCCTGGGTTTTACTGCAAAGAAATGTAATAATAATATAGCAATAATAATGATACAGCAAGTTTTAGCCTTGGAGAAAACTGTTACAGGAGTCCAGATTGCAAATCTTTACAATTCTAATTCATTAATCATGAGCCTTCTTTAGTCAGCTGAAGGCATTCACAGGAAAGCTTAGCATTGTCTCAAATCCAGTATTGAGGAGACTTTGTTTTGGAACATGTGGGCATTGGTTGCTCAGTGGTAGAACTCTTGCTTTCCATACAGGACACCTGGGTTTGATTCCTGGCCAATGCACCTCATGTGCAGCCACCACCCATGTGCCAGTGAAAGCTCTGTGTTGCTATGATGCTGAACAGGTTTCAATGGAGCTTCCAGACTAAGACAGACTAGGAAGAAAGGCCTGGACATCTACTGCCAAAAAATCAACCATTAAAAACCCTGTGGAACACAGTTCTACTCTGACACAGGTGAGGTCTCCATGAGTTGGAGTCGACCAGATGGCAACTGGTTACTAGTTTACTCTGGAGCAATCTTAGTTCATCCTCTTGCCAGAAAGGTTCAATCAGAAGGCACTGCATTCACTGATCTGAAACTTCCTTGAAACCTATTAGTAGACAGAATATCTATGCTTTCCCTAACTTGGATAAAGTCCAGGAAGAAGCACAGAAAATGATCAAATAGGGTCTAAGAGGAGAGTTTTAAAGAAAGGAGCCAACTTCACTTGAAGAGAAGGCCAAAAGATAACCACAATAGCTTTGAAGGCTACAAAGTGTTCCTGCTGGTAGGCATCTATTCATTCACCCAAAGTGCCACGTACTGTACCAGGAATTGGGAGATATGGAGAAGAACAAAAATAGAGATGAACAAAACATAGTCCCTGCTTCAAAAATCTCTTCCCCGTTGCCAGTGACAAAAAATTGAACAAAATTGAGTGTTGGTTGGGACACAAATGGGAATTAAGTCTTAAGAGAAGGGATTTGAGAAACTGAAATGCTTGCCAAGGCCAGGATAGCAATTGAAATAAGTATATCCCCACTTGCGATTTGTTTATTAGAACTGTTGTTTGTAGGTCCTGAGTCAGTTCTACCATGTACAACAGAACAAAACTTTGCCCAGTCCTGCTCCATCTTCATAATCATTGGTATGATCATAAGCCATTGTTGTGGCTACTGTGCACTTTGAGTGCCTTCCAACCTAGGGGGCTCATCTTCCAGCACCATACTGGACAGTATTCTGTTGTACTCCATAAGGTTCTCATTGGCTGATTTTTGGAAGTAGATCATCAGACCTTTTTTCCTAGTCTGTCTTAGTCTGGAAGCTCCACTGAAATCTGTCTACCATGGGTGACCCTGCTGGTATTTGAAATACTGGTGGCATAGCTTCCAGTGTCATAGCAATATGCAAGCTACCACAGTAGGACAAAGAACGACTGCTGGTTAAATGGTGAAATAATTTTCAGGGTTGACTGAGAAAATTTGCACCATAAAAAAAGACTATAGATTCAATTTCGTAGAAAATGTCCTATTATGGGCCTGGTGTGGTCAGTGTAAAGTAAAGTAACTATTTTATGGTTTCCATTGTGCATTTTATCTATCCTTGACACTGTCTGATTCATATCAGGGTCCATCCAGGCCACATAAATAGCAGAAAAAGCAGAAGTCAATGGTGGCTTCTCTTGCTACTACCCTGAAGTTAACAGAAAGCCTGATGACCAAGTTTACCAAGAAAATGAGTATGTATAAATTCATGGTAACTGGCTGTGTTACTATGAGTCCTGAGTTCCGCTGTTCCACAGGTATTTCCCAGCCTTTGATCAACTGAGATTTATCAACTTGTAGGAAAGATAAAGTTGTGATTGTCTATCACAGATATAAAGGAGATCTTTTATTTAATTTATTTAAATAGTATAGATAAATAAGTTGGATAATTCAAGTACTAGGATAGTGTTTTTGTTTTGTCTTTTTAAGCTGAAGTTTTCTAACCACTCAAACAGGAAATTTTAAACTTTTCCTAACATACTTAACTTCACTTTAAAAACTTACAAGAAACCAAGACAAAATAATTTTATAACTCATGAAAGCAGTTTTTAGTCAATATTTTCAATGCTCAGTGATTTCGGTGGAAACTTAAGTATGAATTTTATTTGTAGAAATGCCCAAAATTGTCTTCACCCACATGCAAACTGTCCATACCTAAAATTATGAGGAGCCAAAAAGTTGGTTTTGCCTTTATTCTTTTTTCATTTATTGTATATATGACTATAAAATGGATAGGCCATTTTAAAGAAATTGTCCATGTGCTTTAGTCAATTCATAAAACAAGACATTCTGATAAAATATCTAGTTTGTACAAAGCACATTGTTTTCTCCTAAAGAGAATGCTGTGTCTTAGTCATCTAGCGCTGCTATAACAGAAATACCAAAAATGGATGGCTTTAACAAAGATAAATTTATTCTCTCACAGTTTAGGAGGCTAGAAGTCCAAATTCAGGATGCCAGCTCTAAGGAAAGTCTTTCTCTCTTTGTTGGTTCAGGGGAAGGTCCCTGTCATCAATCTTCCCCTAGTCTAGGAGTTTCTCAGCACAGGAACCCTGGATCCAAATGACGTGCTCTGCTCCCAGCACTGCTTTCTTGATAGCATGAGGTCCCCCTCTC